AACGCTGCCGTCCTTGTTCAGGTTCTGCTGTTCCGTCATCTCGTTGAAGAAAGGAGCGCGAAATCTCCTCTGACGTCACCCCCTGAATACACGCTATAGGTTGCCAGGTTTTACTCGTATTACCCAAGTACATTTTACTTTGTTGTGTCAGGTAGTGCATTCAATACAGTAGTTTAGTAGATATTACTTAGTGTGAATGATTAAAATGTACTTATAAAAATGAGGATACATAATTACAAACAAACACCAAGTAACACATTAAATAAAAGGTGATATTTTAAAGTAAAAGCACTGGAATGATAATTTCTTGTAAAATTTACAAAAATAATCGAGGTAATAATTACAGGGCCAAAAAGTCTTTTTTTTTCAGTGCGCTTTTTCAATTATTTTACTTAAAAATGGGAGGTTTGATATTGGCCTATAATTTTTCATTGTTGCGGAGTCTAAACTAGCCTTCTTTAGGAGCGGTTTAATAACTGCAGTTTTTAGGGCTTGTGGGAAGATACCTGAGAGAAGGGATGTGTTTACAATTTGTAAAAGATCAGTGGTCATGCAGTTTGAAATATTTTTGAAAAAGTGTGTTGGTAGAATATCCAAGCAGCAGGAGGATGACTTCAGATGTTGTATAATGTCTTCTAGGCTTCTACGGTCGATTGAATGAAATTGTGTCATGATATTTGAATGGATGTTATTTAGAGAAGGGGACAACACACGTCCTGTGGTTGGTGTCGAGGCACTGACTGCTTGTCTAATTTTCTGAATTTTGTCAGTAAAAAAGGAGGCAAATTGATTGCATGCCCAGGTGGATTGGAGCTCAGCAGCTACCGACACTGGAGGGTTTGTAGCCTGTCGACGGTAGCAAATAAGGCGCGTGTATTGTTATTGTTTTTGGTTATGATGTCAGAGAAGGACTGCCTTGCATTTCTAAGTTCCAAATTATAATTGCGAAGTCTCTCTTTATAGATGTCACAGTGAACCTGGAGATTAGTTTTTCGCCACCTGCACTCAGCTTTCCGACATTTCTCCAAGGAGATCTTTGCTTACCCGAGACAACCTTCAATTTAGTGGGTGCAATGGCATCAATAATATTTTTAACTTTAGAATTGAAGCCATCTACAAGCTCATTGACTGAGATGCAAGAGAGGGCTGGTGTGGAGGAGAACTTCTGAATAAATAGTTCACTGGTGTTTTCAGAGATGTAACGCTTCGTCACAACCTTGGTTTGGATATTTATGTGCAAGGAGATTGCACTCTCAAAGAAAACACAGAAATGATCAGAGAGTGCAACATCAGTCACAGCGACCTTGGAAATGTTTACACCTTTGGTGATGATTAGGTCCAGAGAGTGCCCCCTGTTGTGGGTGGGTCCTGTCACATGCTGAGTCAGATCATAGTTATCAAGGACACCACATAGTTCTATAGACTCTCTGTCCTGGGGATTATCAACATGGATATTAAAATCGCCAACAATAACAACACAGTCAAAATCATTACAGATTATAGACAGCAGTTCAGTAAACTCATCAAAGAAGGTTGCACAGTATTTAGGCGGTCTGTAAATGTTTAGGAATAAAGCTTGAGTGGAATTCAGAGCCACATATTCAAAAGAACTAAAATGACCAAAGGACATCTGCTTGCATTGAAGAGAATCATTAAATAAAATAGCAACTCCACCTCCTTTCTTATGCGCTCTTGTTTCACTCATGAAACTGAAGTTGTAAGGTGTTGATTCAATAAGAACAGCTGCACCGTTATCTTGATTTAACCATGTTTCAGTTTAAAACACCTCATCTCACTCTGACGGGCCATCAGAGTGTTAAGTGTAGATTTGTGTTATGCACACAACTGCCGTGTAACGATGAGTATTAATGTGATATCTCATTAGAAAGCTACAGTTCTTGTAATTCGATTTATGCAAACCATTTCAAGATACAATAACAACAGCAGGTACAGTTAACGTCTGTGTCAAACAAGCACTCCAAAAATAGCTGATAAAATATCGCCGTGACTCACTGATTATGATTCATAACGTCCCCCTTGTGCTTGCTAGTCCAGCAAAAGCGGTCTTGTTTGATCGCTAAGGGTCCACTCGGTGGAATCCAGTAAAAGATTTAGTCCAAAACACATTAGTACGTCCATAAAGACCCACGGGGGGCTGTTGCATCATTTCAAATTAGCCAGCAGATATGATAACTCGCGATCATATTTCGGTCATAATTTCACTTTTCATGTCAACAGAGCAGAGATTTTCATCGCAAAATGGAGGCTGCATTCCGCTGGTTAGATTTACACCTCATTTGACCCAATAGGAGCTTCTATAGCCCGGTCACATTCTGGAACAGCCAACGAGAGTCCGCTTTGAAAGACAATGCCCGCCTCTCTTCTTTGGGTAAAGCTCGAGCCAATTGGAAACAGATCCTGTTCAAACTCAGGCTCCATATAGCCAATGAAATTACGAAGACAAGGATATGCAGATTTATCAGATTGCATGTTGGGAAAGTTTTCAAAACTGAAATTGTAAACCCTGAGTCAGGTACCTGAGACCGATTATCAAGAGCAAAGTCTGGTTCATGAGAATTTTCAAGAATCTGTGAAAATTGACAATGGTTAAATATGATATAGTTAACCATGCATCAACATAAATAGACTATAGTTTGAATTTCGGACACGTAGTTTATCGTAGTATATGCATTTTGACGTGGTGACGCGAGCCTCCAAATGCATTTTTACGTGGCTGCACTCTTAGTAAACCACGTGTAAAGTATTAATTTTCTGTTGTATTGTTATCAAATTCTACCAGGTATCATGACTCCATGCTGTTGTAGGAGTGTATTTTCAAGTCTGTAAGTCCCAGCCATAGATAACTGCTGCCATCTGTTGGCCAAAACAAATCCAGGCGTAAATAAAAACCTTCTTTTTCAGTGTGCTGTAAACTCCATAGCTCAATGCCAGTAGCACTTACAGTGATTCTGACTGTTTGTGAAGAAACTTCAGAGTGTTACCGTTCAATAGAGACTAAAACCATACATGTACTCCCAATGGTTCAATAAGAGCTGTCAGTTTACTTTGGGTACGCGTTGGATAGGCGTTTTAGGCAAATTTTACAGGAGTGATAAGAGGTTTTAAATATCTAGCTTGTGCCTAACAATAAAATCATTGATTAAAAATGTTTTTCCTGACAGAGACCTGACATTTAATAAAGCTAAGTTTAATGTGGTTAAAGCTTTCTTTGCCCAATTTATTTGGACAGGCTGACGAGGAATGTATGTTAAGTTTGATAAGTTTGCAGGTTTACTATTGTTTCTTCGCAGCCTCACCTTTCTTTTTCTATAAACTATCAGGACAGGAATTGAGAAGGCTAGCTGCATACAGGGCCCCGACTTTTCCTGGAGAGAGTCATTGGTGTCATTAGTCTTGTAGCCTGGACCCAGAAGTTATTGCCTTTATCAGGTAGGGGAGTCAGAGGATGATTGTGGAGCCGTCGAGGAGTGGGGCGAGGAGCGTGTTTGGTTCCAGCAATGACCAGCTCTTTCATGTGGTCAGTGAACTCCAGGTGGGGGGAGGATGGGGAGAGTATAAAAGAGGAAAGGGACCTGGATGGAGTTTGGGGGGTCGAAGTAGGTGCTGGGGAGGGAGGTAAAGACTCCTCGTCTCGGAAGGGTGGGGAAAGTGGGAGATCGGAGGCGGTCCCTGATGATGGGGTTGGAGACTCCTCCTTTTGGCTGTCGCTAGGCGGGGGCATCCTTCCCATAAGGTCTACATGGCGATGCTGTGTGGTTATCTCTTGTTTAGACTCCTCTTGTGTCTTGTCCTTGGCAGTAGGAACAGACGGATGACGCAGGGAGAAAAATTGGTTAGAGGTAAACAGTTTTACCCCTGACTTGTTCAAGCAAACTCCATGTGCCTTAAAAAGATGTCTGCACTCCCAGAAAAGGTAGAAATTGTTGATAAAATGTACTGAATGGTCAGTACATGCAGTTGACAGCCATTTGTTCAGTGCAAACAGCCTGCTGAATAAGAGGGGGAAGAGGGCCACTGATAAACACCTCAGCCTTGACAGAGCTGACTGTGTTTAACAGATCAATAAAGTCTCGCTTCAGAACTTCAGACTGTTGTTTCACAATATCACAGCTTCCTGTATGCACGATGATGTTTTTCACCGTGGGATAGTCAGCCACGATGTCCAGGATTTTGTCTCTCATGTTAGAGACCATATCTTTCGGAAAGCAGAGTATTTTGGTATTCTTGCTGCACAGTGTTCTGACATCTTTTACAGCATAGTCACCAACAATCAGAGTCTCAGGCCCAGTCACTAGCTTTGCCTGCGGCCTTTTACTCTCACATTTACTCTCAGTTCTTACCCTGCTTTGAGGATAAGGGTAAGGAGCTCGGTCATCAGGAGGGAACTTGGAGTCAAGCTGCTACTCATTCGCGTCGAAAGGAGTCAGCTGAGGTGGTTTGGGCATCTAATTAGGATGCCTCCTGGATGCCTCCCACTGGAGGTTTTCCAGGCACGTCCAACTGGGAGGAAAACCCGGGGAAGACCCAGAACACGCTGGAGGGATTACATCTCCCAGCTGGCCTGGGAACACCTCGGGATCCCCCAGAATGAGCTGGAACATGTTGCGGGGGAGACGGAAGTCTGAGTCAGCCTGCTTGGCCTGCTGCCACCGCGACCCGACCCCGGATAAGTGGAGGAAAATGGATGGATGGATGGATGGTTCAGGCAGACTGAAACAATTCAATTAATTTTACTTATATAGTTGAATATCACAAATTTGCCTCAGGGGCTTTACAATCTGTACAGCATACAACACCCTGTCCTTGGACCCTTGCATCTGTGTAGAAAAAAAAATAAAAAATCCTTTAATGGGGAAAAAAATGGAAGAAACCCCAGTGAGAACCCCAGAACAGAGACTTGCAAAGGATGTCATGTGTACTCAATCAACAACATGTTAAAATTACAACACAATCAATCCATAATCATACAGTAAGCCTACCTCAAACATGTTTCCAGCGCTGTACTCTGGTGCAATGATGAGGTCAATGTCCCTCTTTTCTCCCAGAAATGAAGGGTAAGCTACGTTTATCAGCAGCCCAGCGTCTACCAGCTGGAATCTTTCTTGAGAGCGAAGGCAAGTTGGAACCATTGAATCTGCCCAGCAAAGAAATTTAAGAATTTTTCAATTCAACCAAACTTCAGGAAAGCTTGTTTTAACTTATTTATTTATTAATCTACTTACTAATAATTTTCTTCATTATTGTATTGCATTTGCAAATAAAATATAATGTTGCTGTTTTATAAATGTAAAAATGTCTGTCAGTAAAGAAAAGACTCTTAGCAAATAGCTATTTACACATCCAGTAGATATGGAGCACTCATTTTGAGTCACGTTTGTGTCCACATGATGCGTCTCAGTTTTAGGTCTGTTTTTGGTCTCCACAAACTCCTGAGAGTTTGTTATTATCTAGCGTTCATCTAGATCTACCTATTATCTTGGTTAACACCTTTCAAATACGCATAGTGTTTTGACCCATTGTTAGGCATATTTCCCAAAATGTAGTGAGTTACACGATACACGACTGTTCTATCCAAGTGGTAAGAAAATCCTCCCACCAGTACCTTTCACCTAACAAGATTTGTTTGTTGAATACGTTTGAAAACCAAAAAGTAAGAACAGCTAGTTTTAGGGGCCTTTCATCCTGATATCCAAGGATCCAAGCACTTCTGCGGTTACTAACCAATCAAAACCTGCATGCTGTGATGGCAATGAAGTTGTGGTACTTTAGCAGTAATCCACACTGACTAAACTAAACAAAGTCATAACAAAGGTAAAGGGAAATCAAGCACCATAAACCAGATGAACAAAGTAGCGTTTTTACCAAAGTTAATTGCAACTATTGATGAAGGGGTCTGTTTTCTCACCTTGGTATTGGTAGAGGAAATTTCTGGTTGTTCCCCACTCCCATGTCATAATTTTGGGAAGGACCTTCTTCGTAAGTAGAGAGACTGGGGAAAAACATTGAAAAGTAATACACAGACATGTTTACATCATGTGTACATCATATTAAAATGGGTCTGTTTGTCTACAACTTTGACCCACTGACCATGTGTTTTGAAAGCTCCATCCTCCAGACTCTCGCTCCAGGTCTCTACTGCCGCCAGCAGCTCCATAATCCACTGCTGAGAAAGACTTTTTCTTTCCTCCGAACTTTTTGGCTCCAGCCACGCGGACTTATTATGTTTGACCTTGTCTGGAAAAGAAAAGATTTGAACGGACACCGTGGCATTTTGAATCAGACTATGTCATTATTTCATCACATACACAAAAATGCTCAAATGTGAAGACAATTTAAACATTGATAGCATAATTTTCAGGTTATCAGTAACTGTAATCTTACAAATTAGCTTGCAGATACCAAAACATTTGTATTTAATAGTTACATTTTATAGTAAATAATCTGAGTAGGGTCATCGTCATAACTGCTACTACTACCTTCTAGTATTTTCTGCAGCTTGTCGAGGTCAGACAGAGCAGTAGGATCCTTAATGGTGCTTCTGGTAAGGGCAACTAGTTTATCAAGGGCATTGTATACACGCAGGTACTCTTCAGCAGCACCGTCCATCTGTCCAGACACTGAAACACACACACCACACACACACACACACACACACACACACACAAACACACACACACGCACAGACACACACAACACGATATTTATCCCTGCAGTGTCTTAAAATACATTTAGTGTTTGAGACAACGTCAAACAGTGATTACCATTCAGCCAGGGAGGGATGAACTCTCTGATTGTCTCCTCATCAGCCAACGCACTACCTAGAACACCTGCATGGTTTCAACACACACATAAGCACACACACAGTTTGATAACTTTTATGCATGAAACAGTCTACAGTATCAACATCTGCAGATATTGTGTAGGTATTCTGTGAAGCAAAGGCAAAAAGACCATGTACCTTTAAAAGTTATGAAACTTATTTTCTCAATTAGCTTACTTCAATCACTGATGGAATACTGAATGAACTCACTGGTTTCTGCCACCGCTTTCGTTATTTCAAACTTATAAAAGAAGAGGTGGTCGTATGTACATTGTGTGCACCATTCAGGATATATACTACCTATATATATGTATATAAAATCTAATGCCAGTTGGTGGGTTGTTTGTCAATTGATTAAACCACATTCACACAGTTCTGATGAAGCTTTTTTTGAAGAGTTTTGGTGTTAAACAAGATTTGGAGCCACATTTTCAGGGGAGCAGAAATAAATTGATCTTTATTTTGGTCTTTGAGCTCACTAAAAGTGCTCAAATTGCCACAAAATCACAAATCAGATTATGCTGATGACCAATTATGAAAAGTATAATTCACCTTTGTTACTGAATCAGGTGCTTTAATCTGTGTATTAATTTTTTTGACTTTGTCCTAACCCTTGATATTTTAAACATACTCTTCCAAAACACAATATTGACATATTATCAAGGTTAGGTTGTTATGGCAAACACGGTTATAACACTGATAACGTTGCCTTTGGCTAAATAACTCCTCTAAGCTGGGACGGCCGCTCGTGCCTTTGAGTCCCTCGGCTGTGTTTGAAATCGCATACTAATGTAGGTCTATTGCATACTACATAATCAATCACTATGTACTGTATACTGCCTTTTGAATGGATGATTATTATGATTTTACCAACAGAGTGTTCACACTGAAGAATGCCCAAGCAATGGCTGTTTCAAGCCACCCTGCCATTGGCTCTCACATTTCAGAAAATGTTTGCAGAATATTTCCAAACAAGCGTTTTTTGGGTAAACTATCTGATATTGAGAATCTAAAGCATTAATTTCTCTCACAGCTTGATCTCACAGAAATTTTTGAAATGACCAAATGTGTTTAAATGACGTGTCGGCACCATGGAAACAATGCCAATGAAAAGTCATTAAGATCCTTTGTCGTGATGGACACACAAGTTAAACGCATAAACCAATGAAAAAGACTTGTTGAAAGGGCTTTCAACCAGGAGACTGATGTTGGAGGCCGGTGTTTGTGTCCCAAAGTGTTGTTGAGTTATTGAAGTTACGTTTGTATTTATTTTATTTATTGGTTTATTTGATACGGGACAGTGCACATTAATAAATGTGCACTGTGACCTGTTATACTTAGTTTATGTACTTATGTTAAGCCCAACCATGATGGGTTTTTTTTCTTAACCAAAAGTTAAATTTTTTCGTGGTGGCAGCACATACTTTTACAGATTTACGTGCCAACAGCACAGCAGCCCGTTCCTCAGAGCTGGGGATCGAACCATCGATCCTCCGATTAAAGGATGACCCGCTCTATCACTGAGTCATAGCTGCCCTGTTGATCCTTTCTCTAACTGGAACTGTTTGGCAGTGGTAGAAGAAGTAGGCCAACTATGAACTATTAATAGTAAAACTATTAATACAGCACAGTAAAAGTCCTGCTTTTCAAACTTACTTTGAGTGATGTCACCGCTCTGCCACTACTATCCTGTTTTTTCCAGTGGTGTACAGTAACGAAGTAGAAATACTTCGTTACTGTACTTAAGTCGTTTTTTTGGATATCTGTACTTTACTTTACTATTTATATTTCTGTTGACTTTTACTTTTAGAAACTGAAAACTGATACTTTTACTCCGATACATTTCCCCTGAAACCTTCGTTACTCGCTACAAAATCAAATCTATCTTTAGAAACAAAATGAATCATGAGACCAACATCGGGGACTGTGGTGGAACACAGACTGCAAGCAAGCAGGTTTGGCGAATCAGTGGTCCTAGCTTGCAAGTTAAATCGTTGGTTAATCACGTTAATGCGCAATTGCAAACAAGTGCTCTCAAAGCCGCGGTGTTTTGATTCCCAGTGATGCCCAGGATGCTATATGATATAGCTAGCGAGCAACTACATGAGTAGAATTCCACTCTACGATGACTGATTTCATGATGGAAGCAGAAATGGAAGCACCTGCTAGTCCTGCAACAAACTACGGTGGTGACGAAGATCAACACCCGTGGATCGCTAGCGAGTTAGTGAGCTGAGGAAGTGTTGACAGTTGTGAGATTTTGTTGATTTGAGTCATCTTAGCTATAATCATTGCAGCACTAGTTGGCTAATGTTAGCTAACTTAACGTTAGCTAACTTAACGTTAGCTAGCCACCACACCATAGGATTGACAGGAGCCGCGAGAGCGCAGCATTAGGGTTAGCATTAGTGTTAGCATTAGGGGAATCCTTCCCAGCTGTGCGCAAGCTGTCTGTGAAGCTGAACACACCTCTACCTGCCTCAGCGGCCTGTGAAAGGCAATTTAGCATCGCAGGACTAGTCTTCAGCCCAAGAAGAGCGAGATGGAATTCTCGCAATTTTGAAAACAAATTTCTTTTGAAGATGAACAGGACATTTCTCAGTTTCAAGGAATGACTGGGTTGTTACTTTCGGTGCTGCTTTAGTATTGATCATGTTTTGATATTTGAGTCATTTTGTGGATGATCAGATGGAGTTATGATGGTAGCAGTCGCCCAATTGCAGCTTGAGCAAAACCTTTGCCTATTGTGTTCAATTCAGGCCCATAGGAGTTTACAAGGTAGGTGTCCTTTCTCAAAACACTGACCTGATGCATCAAGTTGATATTTTTTGCTGAACACAATATTATGCATTTGCCCTCTACATCCTCTAGTCGGAATATCAGCACAATGGGCCTCATGCAAGAACACACTCGTACAGTGGGCTCTTAACTTCAGACAACTGACCAGCATAAACGTGATTCATGCCACCTGTGCATAAATGAGTGCTCGTTCATGAGAATAGTAAATTAGCATAATGAACGCCCCAATAATACCATATAAGGCTATGAGCACTGCCCCATTTGCAGTGGCGGGCCGTGCATTTTATACCTGGGCCTCTGTGCTGTCCTTCTACAGTTGAACCACCTCCTAATAACCTCATTATGACACCACAGCTACGGTTATTATATGTTTCTAGAGGTGTAACAATACACGTATTCATATTAAACCTTAAACAACTAACTTCTCACCTAAAAACATCCTAAAATTACTCTCTGTGTCTTAACAACAGTAGTATTTCGAAAGTTTCAACTTCCAGTTGTGTGATTTCTCCTCCGCCATTGTTTCCTGTTGCTGGTGCAAAATGCATTCTGGGATATTTGGCTGTCCCAAGTACAGCCAAGTCACCTCCGATACATCCCAGGTAAAATGGGCAGAGCCACATCCGGGCATTTGGACATGGCTTGGCTTGATGTGAACTTTGAATTGGAACAGTACTTGGGCTGAGACTGATGACGTTTCACAAGTCCACGAGTTCACAAGTACAGAGAAGTACTCATATTGAGAAAGGCCCTCTGACCCCGGAAACAAAACATTGTACCCTGGTGAGGCGTGTGTGTTCTGGGAGGCACGCTAAACTAGCTTAGCAGGAAAACCAACACGCTACAAACTCTCCCCGCAGTGTTAAGCTGTTCCCTACTGATTCAAACAGGGCTAAAGCAATCGCCACACAATCCCCATTTCTCCAGACCATAATTCTTACTTTGTTAAAGAAAACAAAACCCCAAACTGAGAATCAAATGTCCAAAACAATAACAAGAACAAACTCAAAAGAACCAGTCACATATGACAACAAAGCATGACACATCAATCCAGCAACTCTGTGGCGCTAAAATACATATTCCGCCGCACACTAAAGAGCACGAGCCATTCAAATATTATTCACATCAGAGGGAAGTAGCTTTTGACAAAAAAAGTCGCCAAGAGGATTTGGAAAGTCGCCAGATTTAGCGAGAAAGTCGCCAAGTTGGCAACACTGCTTCTGATAGCTGATTTAGCGTCAAAACAGTCACGCTAGCCCACTGACCAATCACGCGCAGGTTAATGCTGACATACTTGTAGACTACCTCGGTAGCTCTAGCATGTCAAAGAATACGCCCAACATGTCAAACTAAAGATCTGAACACTATGACAATCAACAATATCGTCCCCATATACTTTAATCTGCAAAGTCTACCTAGAGGGCCTCGGGCCTCTCTTCTTACCTAGAGACACAGAGGTGAAACCTGATTGGATAAAAGCTCTACTTAAAACAAGCTGCACTGGAAGCAGAGCAACTGAGGAAGACAGTAGCTGTGCAATGAGAACATAAGATAATAGGAAAAATAATTAGAATACATAATTAGTGTATTTGTGAAAAATTATTAAATTATAAAATAGCTAATTTTGTGATTCTGTTTAGGCCAGCAGAGAAGGCTTTGCTGGCCCTGACGGCCCACCACTGCCCATTTGTCCGGAAGTGTTCATTCATGAAAATGGCACCAAAGAATAAAAGGAAGAACTTTACAAGTTCGGAGATTTTAGTCCTGCTTTCAGAGACCCATAAAGGAAAGTCTATAATTTTAACAGCTTCAGACGTGGAATTTTCTAAAGCAAATAACGAGTACTTTTAATGCCGTGTCACCTGAGGGTTGTTGTGTCAGTGAAATAAGGAAGAAATGGATCATATGAAAATTGCTTAAAATTGCCATCTATGACTGCATCAGGAGGGGTGCTGTGAAGTCTCCATCAGGGAAATGGATAAAACAATATGTGCCATAATAGATGATGTTGCACCGTCAGGCATTTCAACGGATGATGTTCCCCATGACAAGTGATGACAATTGACGTGTTGGGATGATGCATGTGGAGAACCATTCATCTGTCTCTGCCAATATAGGAACACTGTCTAAAGACACGCTCTCTTTCAAGAGCCTGACGTGCTGCAGCATCCAAAAGAAGTAAATTAGCTATGACGTGCCTCGTTACACTTCTAAGAGACAAACTAACCTCAAATTAGTGCATACTTTTAGTTGTTCTGCAGTGTGAGATGTTCATATTGATATTGTAGTCAATAGCCAATGTTATATAATATTATAATTTAAATAGCAAGTGCTCCTTAATCACTCGTACAAGCCACTCTTGCACTCGACGCCCCCAAATTTGGGGGCTCTCGGGCTTAGGGGGGGTTGCAAATATCGTCCAAAAATGGCTCCCATTGAGAGCGAATATTGTGCATTTGTACATTTCATATACCGGATTAAACAGCAACGCATGGGCAACACTATCATATAAGTCACTTTTTACACACTCCAAACACAACTATACACTACTAATATAAGCAACTGGAAAATGTGGCATAAAACCACGAACTAACGGCTACCGAGCTAATCAATACATCGCTTAGCATTAGCATTCGACGCAGAACCCATAAATGCCTTCAGTTTTTCTCTCCGTGGAACCACTACAAAGCTGTGAGTCAACAACGGCAACACAACAGTTCCCGTCACCGGAAAAAATGATCGCCATCTGCTTACCTTTATGAAGATTTCACAAAAATAACGGCGAAAATTATCCGGTTCAAAGCTAGAATCATTGTTGACAACTGCATCCTGTCTGTTTCTCATCTGTTTCCTGTAGAAGGGGGGTCAATCTAACTTGTGGGATCCTGGGGGTGGGTGGTCAGACTTTTGGCAAATGGAATTTTACGCTCGGGGATGCGCGGCACTCTTTGCATCTTTACTCGCTGAAAATTCTGTCAATCAACACCCGGCTTCGACGCCCGCCTTCCTAAGACTCTGACGCGTTGAAGGTGGGCTCATTGACTGAAATCGACCGATGATAGGCTGAGCTACAGCCCCATACACACACAGCAACTGAGAAAATCCTATGGATGAGAGCCACAAACTGGTTCTGAGAGGACCCTGGCTCTCAAAGTGATTCCAAACGGCTGTATTTGGATGTATTGAATAATATGAGTGATTAAAAAAAGTGAACTATATATAGTTATATAGTATATAAAAGTACAATGTAAGAGCTGCAACAGCTGGTTCCAAAATGACGACCTCGCATTACCTCTCTGTACTAAAAGCCTCTATAACTTTCTTATTCTTCACTTTATCCCAGCCAAACGTTATTCTAGGACTACTGATCGGTTGTGCTATGATTTGGGAGAGTTTTTAGGCTGCCAGCTGCATTATTTCAAAAACATAATATCAATAAAAGTGCTTTTTCTTCAGGCGAACCTGAATATTTTCAATTTGAGCTGTGTAATATCTTCATGCACTATATTAACCAGCAACATATACACAATATTTACCCATCTGAACAATCTCACAAGTGTTATCTGAATTATAGCATCAAAACTTATTAAAATAGACCTTGTAGTTACAGAATGGTGGTCTCTTTAGTATGGGTATGCCATTTTCGAGCAGAGGCCTACAAATAGGGCTAGAGTTTAAAAGGATATATATTATTAACTTAAGAACCACTGTACGAGTGGTTCTTGCATAAGGCCCATGTCCCGAGATTTATCTAATATCTGGTGAGTAGAGTCGCAACATTAAATTGTAGTATTTTGCAGCATGGTGAGCCCTGTTATTTCTGTGTTGCACCTGATGTGAGTAGGCGGTAGCACACCTGGGCACTCGGTGTAGTCTGCCTACCCACTAGTGGCCTCAACTTAGATCCCAGTTTTGTTTAGTTTATGTTTGACAGGACATTAAAAAATATTAAGTATAGTGTAGCCTTTAGAGCTTTTAGAAAGTAAGATCATAATAAAGAATTGCTTTTATTACCTTATTGGTTGCAGTAATTTTTTTTTGATTCCTTACATAAAACCGTTGGTTCATTTTACAAAACATTTGTCACAAATCTGTGTGCCTCATCACTTTTTATATTATATATTTAAGGTTCATATGTCCGTAATCCTTGGGGTGCAATTCCCCAGGTGGCGTTGCCCCTGCCACATATGCACTTTGTATTGTTTACAACTTACAGAATACTTGAGTTGTGTGTATATAGACATCTATATATAGACATATTGGTGTTTTCATACAATATCAATCAAAAGACCAATTTTTTTACTAGTATACATAAGTCCTATTCTATTTACCTTTGTCCAGATTTGTTGTCCTTGCTCCTAGTTGTGTCTATTTCTGTGTAAGAACATCAGGGAGCTGTCAAAGTGAACTGTCCTTATATGTGCACACAATCCTGGCCAATAACGGTGACTCTGATTCTGACCTTGTAGTTTGACCATATCCATCTCCGGCATTTGCTCCAAAAGCTCTCCACTCTCGAATTTGCTGCCCAGGAGAGACGTTTCGATGAAGAAACCCAACTCTGTGAAACCAGCCTCGTGAGGGCTCACCTCGAACCATTTTCCTGAGAGACAGAAAGTCTGTTTACACTTGCAAGTCAATAGCCCCTTTCACATTGAGATTCTGTAATACAGCCATGAAGAAGATCCGCTCTCACCATTTCACGAAGTGAATGGTCCAACAGTCCCGGTTTCAACAGGCTGTGTGAAAAGGGCTAATAACTCACTAAGGTCCTAATGTGACCCATGCATATGAATGTGTACCTTCTATAGGACCAGATGAGAAGCAGTGCTTCTCTATGGCACCGTAGATGGGGTAAGGGTTGGTGACATTTCTGCTGGCCTCATCTGAAAGATGCCGTAGGTCCATCTGATGAAACACAATGTTTTTAAGGACTACCTTCATAACGGAGTGTGATGCATTTTAAAATGGGACATATGAGTAAAAGTGTGCGTGTTTGCCCTGGTACCTGTTTCATGATCCCAGCAGAGGTCAAGACCCCCCAGATATCAGTGAGACAGAAGTGCTCTTCATTTGCCCTCTCACCCAACCAGGCCATAGCTGCCTCCAGCTCAACCCCAGGACCTGACAGCCTGGACACGGCTGTGTCCATGCTGCTGCTCCACTGTGGGTCACTGTAGATGGAGGACATGGACCTATTAGAGGAGACAAGTACATTGGTCAAGATGAATTGTCATGGGGAAAAAAATTTAGCTTTTTTTCTGTATTGAACTATTGCATTAACTAAGCTCTTATTTTATCAGTCCAAAAGCAAAACCAGGTAGAGAAGCAAACATTATTAATGGATGTAAAACTCAACCCCTGGCTAAATTCCATGTGGCCATCCTCTCTATGCTATAGAAACCAAGAGCAGCCATGTTTACGATCATGTTTTGTGTGTGTGCATGCTTTTATTTGTATCTCTTTTGCCCTTCTTTGAAGGGCAATCAACTGGCTTTAGTGGGCCTTCCTGCCCTGGCTGGTTACTACTTGCACACATGAACCGATGCTTCAAAAAGGTTCTCTTTGCAGTCTGGCAGGCTACACAACACGCCCACTTTACTGAACGACACGCCCACATTGCTACACAACATGCACCCTGAGATAACTTCTCGGATTCAAATGCTTATTTTAGCCCAAACCATGTTTTCAACCTAATCAAGTCGTTTAGGTGCCTCAACCTAACAAAGTAGTTTTGCCTAAAACTAACTAAACTGACCTTTTCGAGGAGCAGTTTCCAAACTATATTATTGGTTGTGTTAATGGAAATGCACTGCTTGATAACTAGTTATGTTTTAGCATACAAACTGCAAAGGACTATGGGTAATCCTCAAAGCAACAGAGGATTCGCTACTAGGTAACGTGTCTGTGGACAATATAATATCAACTAACTTTAAAAGTACATAACAGTTGAGCTGGCTTTATTTGTTTGGATATTATTTGTCTTAGATTATATTCGTCATGTTTTCTTGAAGCTAACTATATGATTTGTATGTGTTTTATTGCCAGTAGAAATGTCTCCGGTATAGCTAGCTAACACTAACGTGATGCCGTCTTTCTAGACAGAGCATGCACTGTTGTCCACAAATGATGACCATTCTACTGTTGTCCTTTGTCATAAATGCAGATGTGGAATAATCCTGCTGTTACCACAAGCCTGACCAGCTTCATAAGATTAATTTAGCCAGGAGACATCTCACAGAGGTTACATTAGCATTCCATGTACCAGTAAGATCTTAAGTCTTGAGTATCGCATGTCATACTCCTCTCTACTCGAGTCACCTCTGTTTTTCACTGAAATGCTGTAAAATAGATCTCTGAATTTAATCCAATTGTTTGTTGTTTTGTGTGTTGGTCTGTCAATCTGTTCAGTTCTCATTCATACACAAATGTGTGTTTAAGTGTGAATATTGTTACCATGTTGACCCAGAAACTCCTCCCAGGTAGAGCAAACTGTCCAGCAGACCTTCCTTTTCCATCTGATAGAGGGAACCCACCAGACCCACAGCTGCCCTCTGACCCCCACCAGATGCCAACAGAGTGATGTGGGGAACCGAATCCTTGTTGGAAACAAAGGAGAGCTGGTTAATTTGATAGCTGCTAAGCCAATGCATTGTAAAGTCAATTATAAGATGATGTCCTATTTTACAAACTCCATTGTAAGGGTTATTTATGAAGTTATTAGTAGTTGCTGTTGTATTAGCTCTGCATTCTTTTAGACATGCATTGAAACAATAGAATGTATTGATGTACTCTTATGTGAGCTGTTTAAACTTTTTTCTCTCTGCTGTCTGTCAGACTAAAACCTTATTAAAATAATATGGCTGGGGTGCCCCTATGGCTTAGGGTGTAAAAAGCCAACCATAAACATTAACGTTTTTGTGATAGTTTAATTCCCTATTTTATTTTGAGTTACTTCCCTCATGTGCCATGTTTGGTTTTACTTCCTGCCTTTCTCTGTTTTCTACCACACCTATGTTTCATTAGTTGATTAGCGTCTTGTGCATTTAGTCTGTTTCCCTGTTTCACAGTCAGTCAATCTGCCTTATCTGCTGGTGTCTACGTTCTTGCCCTGTTCTTTGTGTATAGTTTTCCCCAGTGTTGAGCATTTTTGATTATTGTTGATTGATTGATTGTTTTTGGTCTTCCAGTTACAGTAAATTACTCCATTTAATCATTGTATTACTCAATTCTTAATCTGTATTGTGGTCTAAAATTGCACTTGCTGGACCCAGCAAACATTCTTTTTGAGGAACTATATGACAAATTTTATTCTCTGGTGTGCATGTGTGGGAATTGGAGGAGAGCTCCTGGTGTATGGAGATTCTTCTCTGCCCATGGCACGCAGTGAGGTGATCAAAAAGCCATGGCTAATAAACTCTCAACCTGACAGTGGAAGGATTGCCTGTTCCTGCCGGGCACTCCACTGGTCCAGCCTTATTATCAGTTGCCGGACCTGGCCCCAAGTCTCTGTGTATGTGTTCCTGTGTGGTTCCGCCTCCATGTTCCAGTGGGGTATCGCTACCGTGGCTTTCCTCCAAAGTGGTCTCTGTGGTCGACCTCCAGTGTGGTTTCACCAGTCGGTCGCCCTCGTTCATGCCCTAGCTGAGTTGCAGTTGCCTTAATCTGGTACTGAACTCCAGTTGCCGGAATCTGGTTCTTAACTCCAGCAGGATGCCCCATACACATACAAGGAATTTGACATGGCGGGTCGTGCATAACATTAAACAATCAATAATCAACACAGTGCAAAAGTAGAAGCATATTAAAATTTACAGTAAAATATAAAATAAAGTGCAGAGACAAACATAACAGGACTATAAACAAGTGAGATGTAAGTGTAATGTAAAAGTGTCGAGTGTATTTAAATAAGAAACAGGGATGTGCAGGTGTGTGACCAGTAGGAAATTGTCCTGGGGATGACAGAGTCAGTGGGGGTCCTGGGCTTTGTTGATGAGCCCAACTGAAGACGGGAAAAAACTGTTCATGTGGCGTGAGGTGTTGGTCCTGATGGACCACAGCCTCCTGCCAGATGGAAGGGGCACGAACAGTTTGTGTCTAGGGTGAGAGGGGTCGGCTACAATCTTTCTTGCTCGCTTCAGAGTCCTTGAAGTGAACAAGTCTTGGAGGGACGGCAGACAGCAGCCAATCACCCTCTCGACAGAGCGAATGATGTGCCCTTGTCCTTGGCTGTGGCTGCAGGAGTAGAGGATGGACTCAACGATGGCTGTGTAGAAGTGCACCATCATTGTCTTTGGCAGGTTAAATTTCTTCAGCTGCCTCAGGAAGTACATCCTCTGCTGAGCCTTCTTTGTGATGGAGCTGATGTTAAGCTCCCACTTGAGGTCCTGGGATATGATGGAGCCCAGGAAACTGAAGGACTCCACAGCGTCGACGGGGGAGTCACACAGGGTGATAGGGGTAGGTATGGCTGCATTCTTCCGGAAATCCACAACCATCTCTACTGTCTTTACAGTGTTGAGCTCTAGGTTGTTCAGACCGAACCAGGTCACCAGATGGTCAGTCTCCCACCTGTAGGCGGACTCATCCCCACCAGAGATGAGTCCAATGAGGGTGATGTCATCCGTGAACTTCAGGAGCTTGACGGACTGGTGACTGGAGGTGCAGCTGTTGGTGTAGAGCAGTGGTTCTCAACTGGTCTGGCTGCGGAACCCACCATCACCCCTTAATGACAAGCCGTGACCCACGACCCAAATTATATATATATAAATATAATTGGTGTACTTTCTTTATTTGATTTGACAGTTGTTGACTACACAGAGACGTTACTACTAGACTTCTTGAATAAAAATACCCAAATTATATATAATTTGCTGAACAAGTGCCGTAAATGCTGGAATAATTCCGCTGCATAAAAAATGCCCTTCAAAATAAAATCACATTTTTTTTTTTTTTGTCAGGCAAAGGATCGCGACCCACTGAAAACGGGACAGTTGAGAATCACTGAGAATCACTGGTGTAGAGGGAGAAGAGAAGAGGGGAAAGAACGCAGCCTTGAAGGAAACTGGTGCTGATGGTCCGGGAGGCTGAGACATGTTTTCCCAGCTTCACGCGCTGCTTCCTGTCAGACAGGAAGTCTGTGATCCACTTGCAGGTGAAGTAGGGCACGTGCAGCTGGGAGAGCTTGTCATGCAGCACAGACGGGATGATGTTGTTAAAGGCAGAGCTGAAGTCCACAAACAGGATCCTGGTGTAGGTTCCTGAGGAGTCCAGATGCTGGAGGATGAAATGAAGGGCCATGTTGACTGCATCATCTACAGACCTGTTGGCTCTGTAGGCGAACTGCAGGGGGTCCAGCAGAGGGTCGGTGAGGGGTTTTAGGTGGGACAGGACAAGGCGCTCAAAAGACTTCATAACCACAGAGGTCAGGGCGACGGGCCTGTAGTCATTAAGTCCTGTGATCCTTTTTTTGGGGGGACGGGGATGATGGTGGAGGCCTTGGAAGTAGGCTGGTACGTGGCATGTCTCCAGGGAGGTGTTGAAGATGTCTGTAAACACCGGAGACAGCTGATCAGCACAATGCTTCAGGGTGGAGGGGGAGACACAGTCTGGGCCGGCTGCTTTGCGGGGGTTCTGTTTTTCCTCTTGGGCCCTAGCCCTAATTTTAAGCCTCTGCTTTAAAATTGCATACCCATACTAAAAAGAGTGTATTTCTGGAACTACAAGGTCTATTTGAATAATTTTGATGTTATGATAAAGGTAACACTTGTGAGATTTGTTTAGATGTGTAAATATCAGTGTATATGTTACTGGTTGAGAGTAAATGAAGATGGCACACAGCTCAAATTGAAAAGTTTCAGGTTCGCCTGAAAAAAAAGCACTTTTATTGTTATTATTTCTTTGGAATGTTACAGCTGCAAGTCTAAAACCACCCCCAAATCATATAACAATATGTGAACAGTCTCTGTGCAAAGTGTGACTTTGATAAAGTGAAGCAGAACAAAATTAGAGGTTTTAGTACAGAGAGATCAGACGAGGTCACCCAAATTGTCATTTTGGAACCAGCTGTTCCATTGTAATTTTCTATACTATATAACTATATATTTCACTTGTTATATCACTAATAGTCTATCCAAATACAGCAGTTTGGCTTCATTTTGAGAGCTAGAATCCTATCTGAGCCTGTTTGTGTCTGTGATCCATGGATCCATTCCTGTCTGCCTGCAGTTTATCTGTGTCTATGTAGACCTAACTCAGCAGCCCATTGGTCGATTTCAGTCAATGAACCCTCCTTCGACACGTCAGAGCCTGGAGAATTGAGCTGGGACAATGTGGTATTGATTGACAGAATCGTTAGCGAGTAAGAATCAAAACCGCGCCGTCCCTCGCGAAGCGTAAAATCTGATACGCCGAAAGTCAAATCGTCCCCCCCTCGTACCCTGCCTTATAAAAGCCCCCTGTCATCACGGAAACAGTCACACAGGATATACGTAGAACCATTTTTTTAGCTCCAGAACTGGGAAATTATGCCTTTGTCTTCATGAAAACAGCGTAAAGGTGAGGAGCTTTATGATTATTAGCGATAAAGCGGTTTGTGGTTCTGGGACTGGGATGGGTGAGAGGCATGGGCCCCTGCTGAGCTGGGGGAGGGGGACCTGGTGGTCTGCAGCTGGTTGATGGAGCCATGGGGGATGGAGTCAAGACTGTCCAATTGTCTTTCAAAACGACAGTAGAACTCGTTCAGCTCATTTGCCAGGCATAGGTCGTTCATGGAGTGGGGGGTTTTTGGCTTGTAGTTGGTGATCTGTTTGAGACCTCTCCAGACAGAAGCAGAGTCACTTGCTGAGAGCTGGTGTTGCAGTTTCTCAGAATACAGTCGTTTAGCGTCTCTCACCGTCTTACTAAACCTGTATTTTGCCTCTTTATACATGTCCTTGTCCCCACTCCTAAATGCCTGTTCCTTGTGCAACCTTAGCTGTCTGAGTTCTGCTGTAAACCAGGGTTTGTCATTGTTGTAACTAACCTGGTGCTTGTTGGAACACAGCTGTCCTCACAGAAGCTGATGTATGAAGTTACAGCCTCTGTGTACTCATCCAGACTGTTGGTAGCAGTCCTGAAAACATCCCAGTCTGTACAGTCTAAGCACGCCCGAAGATCCTCCAGAGCTTCACTGGTCCACTGCTTGAATTTCCTCACCACAGGTTTACAGAGCTTTAATTTCTGCCTGTATGCAGGAATCAGATGGACCATGACGTAGTCAGAGTGACCCAGTGCAGCATAGGGATGGCGTGACAGGCCCCGCTGATTGTGGTGTAACAGTGGTCTAAAATGTTCTCCTCTCTGGTAGGGCATTGAATAAACTGTCTGTATTTGGGGAGTTCATGACTGAGGTTTTCTTTTTTAAAGTCACCAAGGACAATAACTAAAGACTCCGGGTTGGTCCACTCTGCACACATTATCTGGTCTGTGAACGCACGCTGTGCCTCCTGCACGTTGGCCTGGGGCGGAATGTAAACACCGACCAGTATGAATGAAGCGAACTCACGGGGGGAGTAAAAGGGTTTACACTATGATGAAAGATTCCAGATCAGGAGAACAGTGCTGCAGAACCACTGTCACATCGTTGCACCAGCCACTGTTGGAGTAGAAACAGATTCCTCCACCCTTCGATTTGCCGGAGAGCTCCGTGTCGCGATCCTCTGTGAACAGCTGGAAGCCAGCCAGCTGGAGCGCAGAGTCCGGTATCGATCCACAGATCTCAGTGAAGCACAAAATGGAGGATGAAGAAAAGTCTCTGTCTCTCCCCACCAGTAGCTGAAGTTCATCCAGGTTGTTGCTCAGTGAGCGAACGTTGGAGAGAAATATGCCCGGCAGCGGCGTACGAGAACCACGTATGCAAAGACGCACGACCGCACCGGCCCGTTTCCCTGTCCTATGGCGCTTCACTGCATGGGTTAAGGTGAGCACACCTTTTGACGATAATGTCCAGTAATTCCACAGAAGTTAAAAGAAAAGTTGGAAGTAAGTCCGCTTGAGTTGTTCCCCTGATGTTTACGAGCTCATCTCTGGTGAAAGAGCTCCGTGTATCACAGCAGAAAACTGAATAAACAACAAAAACAACACAAAACAATGCGCACCAACATGCAGAGGCAGCCAACCGCGGCACCATCTTGACTGATGTCTTAGCAAACAATTGTCTATTTACACATCCATGAGACACCAATCAACTTTGCATTTATTTTGCATGGTGGGTATAGCATCGGGACACTGACCATCTGGAAAAGCGCCTTTCTTGTGAGAGACAGGGATGGCTACGGCCTCAAAGTGGATTCGGTGCAGATGATGTGTGGCTGGAACTACTGGGTGAGGAGGGATGGACGATGTTGTGCCAAGGAGCAATGATGGCAGAACGTAGCTGGTTGAGCATGTGACTGATCCAGGTCAGGTGTCCCTCAAAGGTTCAACCTCTCATGAGGATGTCATCCATGAAGATACATTTTCTGCGTGCAAACTTTGATGGAGAGTTTGATGGACATTACCCAAATGGACAGTGGTTCCAGGTGTACTGCCAGGTACTGCCAGTTACAGAAGGAGAGGGCCAGCTTGCATTGGTCAGCTGGGTCGACTCTCATGGTCCAGAAACCATTGGTCATGGTCCACCCGACAGCAACTGTCTGCTTGCGTATGACAAGGAAAGGTCAGAGCCAGGATCAGGCTCTGTAATACGCCTCTTGAGTTAATTTACTTTTCGTCGTCCAAAACGGCTTTCCGGGTAAAACAACAGTGACAGTATGACGAATCCACATGATTTTTTTTGTGTTTCTGGTAAGCGATGTCTGCTGTACGTGGTGACGTAGTTAAGCATATATCACTCATATATGCTCAGAAAATCGGCACGTTACTGTCGTCAAAATGTACTTTTATCCCATGTTACATTTTAATTTACTAATCTTTCCTTCCGACTTTCCCCTACACCTGTTGTGAATTTTGAATTTGTTATGTGGATTAAAAAAGCATCTGCTAATAAGTGGCTAAATGAGAGTCCAAAATGTCATCATGCTGACTAGTCAGTCTTTAGAGCCTCAATGTATATATATGCGACAGTGGGGTAGTTTGTTTATAGCCAAAAGTTAGGATTTTACTTCTACTGACTGCATTCACGCTTCAAAAATTAAAAAAGTAGTTTTAATTTGCAATGATTATCTTGCTGAACAAAACGTGTAAGATTCATACATTTTTGTCTGCCACAGAGCCTATTTTTCGCAATAATCCAAAATCGAATGGAAAAATCTATTGTTTTCTCAAGGGAACTAGTACAATGCTAACTTCCGAGGCTACAAAAATACGTCATTCCTACAGCACCCTCTAGAACAGGGGTATAAGAATGTTACATATCTTACCACTTATAATATCCTTCTAGATCACTCGCCGCAGTACCTGTTACCTAACAACACAGATTTAGCAGTACAGAGAATATTTAGTACTGTCAAAAAGCTAAATCACATGACTTGAGGATGTACTAGAGACTACTCTGTGATAAATGTCTACGGTGCTCAGAGTCATGCAGGAAAAAGATATATTCATCACATTATAAACATGTGCAGGAGAACATCTGTGCAAACAAGACACATTCCCAAAGAAAAATAACTTTTCTCTTTGATGAAGGAAACAAAGGAAAGAGAAAGGGACAGAGACAAAAATAAATTGTCTTTCTTACTGCAGTACAGTTGATTCCCAGGCTAATAAGTGACTCCAGAACTACTTGTTTCCTCTTGTGAACATACTCCTGTTCACCAGTACACAGAGATATGGACCTACGGATGGGTTTCTGGAAATGATCAAAGTCAGCTGAATTAGACAAAACAAAAAATAATACTAATATATATTATATACAAGGCACTTTTCAAAACTTCACTTGCAAAAATCAACATAAAACAATTAAGCTTAATAACATCATATACAATCAGACCACAAAGTACAGATATTGAAATATAATGAAATACTTAACAGTGAATCAATAAAAATTAAAGCTGCAAGCAGCATTGATCGGGCCCTCGCAACTTCACGCACGTCGAGGATACTGGCAGGACTCTGGTTGACGCGGCCATGCATTTCTGTGACCATCATACACTGCGTGCACGAGTTAGATGATATTTCCTGTGTAGACCAGCAGCGTAGCAAGATCATGTTGCCAGGTCTTAAGCCTCAAATATTTTGAGTGTACCTCCGATACAATCATAAACGTAAGCCTGTTAAGATCATTAAGAAAATGAATGTGTGTGAATGCGCTTTAGTGTTTGTAACATAACAGACTTTCAGTTTACTGGGATGGGGTTCAACTCCCTGCAGTGTCCTGCTGATTGTATTTGGACTTACATGAAAGTTAACAGAACAGTAGTGCCATTTGCTTTTACTTGAACACTTTAATTTAACACTGTTTTCATTTTAAGCTCTTCTGTAACTTTAGATTGTAGTGTAAAGCATTCATTGTAACATTTAACCTGATTCTCATGAAGAAGCTCTGGACAGATGATTTATACTAATGCCCACTGACATGGTTTGAGAACCACTGTTATCTAACTTTTGCTCTCCAAGCATCTTAGTTTACACATATTTGGATCAGATAAGTCTTTATCTCATGGTGTGCCGACAAACCCTTTCAATAAGTTCAGTGTTTGGGCCGCTGTAATTATAGAATCCTGCTTTCGTCTGTGGTTGCCAGTAGGTGGCGCTATGACTGAGTTAATATTGGCATGCAGGAGTCCTAAAATCATGACAGTAATCAAGCATGTCAAGTTTGGGACAGTTTTGACAAACTACAGTTGAGTTACAACAGCTTGATGGCGAACCATGTAAAATGGCCGCCACACCAAGTCCATGTTGTTCAATGAAACCTCAAGCTTTTAGTAACTTTTAATCACAAAGAATTTGGTCAGAACAATCTCTAAAGACCTAAGTTGATCTGATTAATTCCCTAGGAGGAGTTCGTTAAGGTACAGCACCTGGAAATGGAAAGAAAACATGAGGTATTCATACAAAATTCCAAATGGCTGACTTCCGGTTGGTTTTAGAGCATGGACCTTTTTTTTAAGTCTCCATGTTATACATCTGCTTACCAAATTTTATACATCTAGGTGAAACGTACTGCAAGGGCTGCATCGTCAAAATATTGTAGGGGGCTCTATCGAGCCGACTTGCCACTCTGAAGCATTAAAATCACTTAGATATCAATTAGATAACTACATTCAGGATTTTAAATGTGTGTGACAAGTTTGGTTATGTTTTGAGTATTTTTAGCCCCTCAAAAACACATTTGTTTTTCATGGCGAAGAATGCGTCACCACAGCAATGGCTTTTCATGAAACAACAAGCTTTGAGTAACTTTTCATCACAAAGGTCTTTAGATTGTTCTGACCAAATTTGAAGTTGATTTGATTATTTCCCTAGGAGGAGTTCATTAAAGTATAGTGCCTAGAAATGGTCAAAAATGAATGGAAAATTCACACAAATTGCAGACTTACAGTATGGTTTAGAGCAGGGGTCCCCAACTGGCGGTCCAGATCCGGACCCAGATGTAGTTGCATCTGGACCCAGGATCTCAAACCGATAGATAATTTGGAAATCTACATATTAGAAAGCTAGTTTATACTTTATCTGGCGCAGCTTATTCAGCAGTTACGGCACTTGTTCAGCGGTGCAGGAAACACACCGACCAATGCGTTGTAAATCACATCAGGTGATGCAGCTCAGCCAATCAAATATGGGTATTCTGACAAGTTTCCTGACTCGAGTGAGATTTACACACACCGTGACACACGGGGGAGAGACGAGGAAATATATATATCAGAGCAGGACTATTACGTTGATCAGAGAATTTATCTCACAAGACGTTCTCCAAAAAGAGAAACGTGTTCAGAGAGAACAGAATTTATAAGCAAGAATGAACAGACTCTTATATGTTAATTCTTCCCACAAGCAGTTAAAACCAGCATGTCTCATATGTCCAGAAACTATTGATAAAAGCGGCAAATGAAGCGGACTACGAGGCAAAGCACAACTCTTTTGAACAAACGTACCCACTCACATCTGAAATGAAGACACAGAAAATAAACCTAAGAGCCCAATATGATCAGAATCCTAACACAGTAATTCACTGTCCAACAATGATGTAAACAGAGAGAATAGAGCTGAAACAAGTGGTTTAATAACCACAGATAAAGTCCATGCTCACTGATTTATCTTGTTAGATGAAAAAATATAATATTGTGGCTTTTTTGATTGACATCAATTCACACTGAATTAAGTGAATTTAAAGCTGCAGACAATTCAGTGAAATACATTTCTCTAAAATGAATTAATTTATCTTAAGATGCACATTTTTTCAAAAGCTTTCTGTTATGTCAGTTATTCTTTAATCCAGCCCTTATTGCACTTAAAATGAGAAGAACATTTATTTATGTATTTCTATGTATTTATAATCCATCCAGTTAAATTTGAAAACTGAGAATAATAATTGTTCAAATATAATTGATGTGTACTTTCTTTATTTGATTTGACAGTTGTTGATTACACAGAGACGTTACTACTACTAGACTTCTTGAATATAATTTATATGTATATATTAGTGCTGGGCAACGATGAAAATTTTCCTCATCCTTTAAATCATCCTGTCCAAATTTGATGTTGATCGTATAAACTCTGTTGGAGGGGTTTGTTGAAATACAAAGCCTGAAAACGTAGTTTAATGGGAGTTGCATAAAATGACCGATACGCCACGGCTACGCTATTTCATTGAACGTAAAGCTTTTGATAACTTTTAATCACAAAGGTCTTTGGATTGTACTGTCCAAATTTGAAGTGGCTCTGATAAAGTCCCTAGGAGGAGTTCGTTAAAGTATAGCGACTAGAAATCAAGGGAAAATTCACACAAAAATCAAAATGGCCAACTTTTGGTTGATTTTAGAGCATGGTCCCAAGAGACTTTTTTTAAAGTCTCCATATGATACATGTACCGACCAAATTTAAGGTTTAGGTTAAACGTGGTGCTTGGGCTGCTTTGTGGAAAATCTGCAGGGGGCGCTATCGAGACAATTTATAACGACCAAGCCAAAAATCCTCATGAGATCTTTAATTTCATCACCTACGACAAAGTACAAATTTCCATGAGTTTTTGAGTATCCCAAGTCACAGAAAAATCTGCTTGCTTTTTCATGGCGAAGAAAGCGCTATGACTATGTCAAAATTGAGGCATTGGAATGTTTTCAGGCCTGAACTAGCATCCTGCATAAGACATTTTGGGCAGATTTGACAATGTACCCTGGAGTTACAACAACTTAAATTTTCATGAAAAATTGCACAAAATGGATGCCACGCCAAGGTTGTTGCATGAAAACTCATGATTTTGATAATTTTTCATTATAAAAGTCTTAAGATCGTGCTGACCAAATTTGAAGGCGATCGCATAAATACTGTAGGCTGTAGACTTTGTGAAAATACAAAGCCTGAAAATGGGGAAAAATGGCCAAAAAGAGCTAACTACTGTAGCGCCCCCTAGTGGCTGAAGGGAATGAAAATGTGAGGGTATATTACAGGCTGCAATGTGGACATTTGTCTCAAATTTCATGATGATAGGCACAATGGTTTTAAAGTTAGGTTGATTGATGTACAGGGCCACGCCCCTTATAAGTTCATTGGTCCATATCTTCTTAACACGATAAGTTATCAATACGATTTTGAGGGGGTTTTGATGACATCGATTCAATAATGATCCACATCAACTTTGGTAGCAATCGGACACAGCGTTTAGGAGCAGTTTGCAAAAATGTGTTTTTCACAAAAGTTTAAATGGTGGAAATCTGAATGGGCGGAGTTTCAAAGTGATAGAGCGTTGATTGTAGAGCAGATGGAGCTGAATATGTATGTCAAATTTCACGTTAATCGGACATGTTGGGTGATGGCCGTGGCCTGTGAAACTGTAGGGGGCGCTAGTGAGCCATTTTGTCATACATGAACATGCGACCCATAAAACCTCAAATTTTAACGCAGTCCTGATACGCCTGCTAAATTTGGGGAGTTTTTGAGTATGATAAAGCCCTGAAAAATGCGATTTTAGAGGCAACGGAATAATAATAATAATTCTTTTAATTACAATAGGGCCTTCGCCCGACTTCGTCGGTGCTCGACCCCTAATAATAATAAACATTAGAATAACAATAGGTCCTCCGCTCTGACTATGTCGGTGCTCGGGCCCGAATAATAATAATAAACATCAGAATAACAATAGGTCCTCCGCTCCGACTACGTCGGTGCTCGGGCCCTATATATGAAAAAGTGTAAAATATTTCAATAATGTATGTATTTCTTGAAGAGACCAAATTGAAATGCATCTCAAGCCAGAGCTGAATCTGCCTCAAACATTGAAATGTTTTACACTATCATGGGACAATACTTTAATGTGTTATTGTGCTGCTACAAAATACTGACTATAATACAGCGTCTGCTTAAGTTGTTTTTTTTTGACATATTGAACTTACATGCAAATGCACTTTTTAATATGTTGCACTAACAATAAATGCCACTTATTGTTGCCACAACAGTCAAGATGTGTATATCCAAATACCAGCCAAATGATTACTTTTTGTCTTTTTGTCAGTATACCCCTGTAGTACCCATGGACAAAAACTACACACATGCTATCAGGGTAGGGGAACCTGATATATGGTGCAATTTCCTTGTATATAACATGTGATAGACAGTTGATTATATACATCATACAACCTAAATCCTTTGACATGCATCCCTCACCTCAGAAGTGGCTGTATTCCCCTCCATGTTGTCCATTGCTTTTGCTCGGGCTACTGCAATACAAAGCCAGAAGCAAATCACTGTGACTGAAAAACTTGTATTTCCAGTCTGCATGTTTGGGTGGTGGAAATAACCGTCAGTGTTAAGCTTCTTCCTCAATCGATGTTTGCTCAGGATCCAGTCATATATTGGCAGACAAAGGAGCACAGAGACACAAATGGGCCAGAGTAAATCCAGAAACAAATCAAACAAGCAATCCGATAGACCTTAACTCTCTCTCTCTCTCACACACAACATTGTTGATTCGTACCATGTGTTGGCTTTTGATGGAAGGATTTCTCAATACCTCCAGATGTCAAGATGGAGAGGCTGGAAAACAAGGACTCTATCTCTACAGGGTGTGGGGGGGCTCTGATAGGCTTGTACTCAGTTTTGTGGCTTACTGTAGTCCTGATGACTAATTAATAACATGGAATCAGCACGCAATTAATCCATGGGGATTCCCTGTGCAGATTGAAATCTTGCTCACAGCACTGTCTGGCTTTGTTTGACAGATTGTGAAACTGACTTACATAAAAAAGACTGTAAAAGTCCGTGGTGGAAGAAGTAATCAGATCCTTTACATAAGTGAAAGTATACAACTTGAAAAATGTGTTGCTAAAGTAATGTGTTTAAAGTAAAAGTCAAAATTCACTTAAAGTATCAAAAGTAAAAATACTCATTCCACAGAAAAAGGCAGCTGTCACTGATATATTATTATATATTATTTAGTGCTGGGCAATGATTAAAATATTTAATCACGAATAATTGCATGGATTTTTTTGCGATTAATTGCATTGTTATGGCAAAGTTCAATAATGAATTCAAAAGTGGTGTATTGCGCACTTTTATCTTGAAAGTACTGCTATATGAACAAAAGTGCAACAACATTTGGTTTGCAAACACTTTAAACAAATAAGGTTATTTTTAACAGCAGTATTCCCTTTACACAGTAGCAGTTATACAGTTATAATGATTCTGATAATAGATATTCAGCCGGTGTTCATAACTTTATCTTCATGTGTGTAATAGATGCAATTTAAATATACACCTTAAACTGCAAACATATCTACTTCTTTTTTTTTGTTTGTTAAATTCTCAGTAGCGATAACTAAATGATGCTTATTATACATATTACAAACAAAAACACTTTAAAAACTCGACAATATGTATTTTAATATTGTCACTGTTGCAAATTGTTTGATTGCATGATTTACTTTTATTGTGAAGAGCATGAAAACTGAAGTGCTTTTACTTTGAAGAGACAGGAAGTAGAATGGTATGTGTTCTTGACGCTAACAATGTTGATACGTAGAAAACCAGATGTCGGGTGCAAGAGCGCGTTCTGTTCACTGTAACACTGTAATACTGCAGTTCAGACAGTAAAGTGTTCCGTTCAAACAAGACGTGTCTTGGTCCTCACTAGAAGCTCCACTTCACAACATTCACGTTTGATCTGTAACGAGACGATCGTGCGCGCGTGTGTGTGTGTGTTTGAGTGAAGGACGGTGGTGACGGAGTGTAGGAGGGGTTCTGGACCCGGGGGGGAGAAGGAAGTGACGCCACATGAACACAGCTGTTCACTGCTTGCTGCCTGGTTCTTGTGTTAAAAATGTCGCTTAATAATAAATAAATAAAAAACTGCGTTAACGCGCGATAATATAATTGTCGGCGTTAATTAATTAATGCGTTAACTTGCCCAGCACTAATATTATTAGATTATAGATACTTAATCTGAATTTAATTATATTATTAATAACTTCAGCCGTGAGATAAATGTAGTGGAGTATATTACAATATTTCCCTCTGAACTGTAGTAGAGTAGAGTTACAAAGTAGCACCAACTTAGAAATTTTGAAGTGAAGTACAAGTACATACAAATTGTACCAAGTAAAAGTAACTAACTTCTGAACGTACTTAGTTAATTTCACCACCATTTGGTGTGTGCCATGCATAGGTTATAAATTGGTGTTTTGCCATACAGGCAGAGGAAGAGGATTATTTCTCTTTCACAATCAACTTGTAGCTAATAAAAACAGTTTTTAGTGGTGAATGCAATATATTTTTATTTTCACTTTAAAAAAAAAAGTGAAATCCTCCTGTTGTCAGCATGTCAAAGTGTCCTTGAGCGAGACACTGAACCCTAAATTACTGCCCAGGCACCTCAGTTCTGCTCCTAAAAGGCTCAAATTTCATGAATGTACCATTTTGGCTTTTTGCAACCAGAAGTGACACAAGAGGGTGGAGCTAAGTACAACCGAATGCTGAATAAGACTTTAACTTCTGTGAAAGGGTTAATGTTGTAAGATGAAAATATTGACAACTCCCAGACCGGACAACACTGTGTTAGCGGCCTGTCAATGACAAGATAGCCACGCCCTAAAGCAGGGGTCTTCAACGTTTTTCAGGCCAAGGACCCCCAAACTGATAGAGAGATGGAGCAGGGACCCCCGACTATATATATATTGTATAAAATTGTGTTTTATATTAAATGGGCCTAGTGCCATGTATACCTCTTGATTATGCATTCAATACTAAGCTATTCAAATAATACACAGGTTAATATATTCATGTTTTTATTTTAAACATGTGCAAGGTACAGTGAGTAGGGTGGCCGTGCCACTGCCATTTATAAACATACCTTGTCAACTGATACCAATGCCAATATCAACATTGTCTGTCAATTGCATGATAATCATCATACAAGCTATTCAAATTGATGTTTTCATTTTAAACATAAATGTGGAAACGAAAAATGAGTGATGGCCTCTTTGTGCCACTGCCATGCCTAAACATACCTGTTATCTTTCATACAATACTGAACTATTAAAATAATGGACACATTCATGTTTAGAGAATTTATTTATTTATTTTTTTAATTGTCTAATCAACCAAAAATTTCGTGGACCCCCTGTTGAAGACCTCTGCCCTAAAGCATGGTAAAACCTGGTTTATTGTCTATTTTACTCCTAATTGGACCATAATTTATGAAATGAACATTAGGCTGTATTGAAAAAGACTTGAAACTAGCAATTCAGACCATAAACTCATGTTTACATTATTTACTGAGGTAACAAATCAAAAGTAGGGTCATTTTCAGTTTACAGCGAGGAAGAGAGCAATATTTAATTATATTTTATTCTAACAATGATATTAATTTCAGAGTCAGACTTTCATACCTCTACTAATAAACCTGTAACTACATGTGTTTTTACTTATGTTTGAGGGGAAAAGAGTGATAATGTATTAGGTTGGAAATGCTACATGTTAGTTTTTATTAAAACAGACCCCCCCCCCCACACTTTCTTTGTTAATAATTGAACTATTCTAACACTCTTCAGACTTTATATCGAGATAATACACGATCACGTCAGTAGATGGCACTTTGGTGCTGCTGTGGATCCATTAGAGAGAACGTAGCTACAGGCTCCGCTCATGCGCAGCTCAGAATAAAACTAGCTCTGGCCTGAGCATGACGCTAACGTTGGTCCTCTCTCTGTATTAATCCACAGGTATGCAAAACGTGTTTTCTGTCCGTAACTTGAGTTATGATGGAATGTAAATGCAGTTCAATGTTTTGTAATGTTGTAACATGATTGGAGATGTGTGATAAATTTATTTAGCTATATTTTGTAGCTAATTGTTCCGACGAACGTTGTAATGCTACCTAGCTAGTTCTGTCTGTGAACTTCAGTGTTACACCGTAGTTGTTAAATGTTAGTAGGACTGGATATGGAATATATTTGAATTCATTTGAATTTGTTCACACCATCTTGATGTAAATTGTGAAATGTTATGATCTGCAATGCAGCTCAGAATAAAACTAGATCTGGCTTGAGCATGATGCTAACGTTGGTCCTCTCTCTGTATTAATCCACAGTTGGATCAGTTGGCTACACTGTGTAACCTTTGCTGCCGGTCCAGATTTCCCCTAGGTCTGGTGCCGGTAACATTTACACCCATCACATTTCAATGTTTGGCCTGTGTGCGTATGGCACTCTGTAAAACAAACATTGAATCGTTGTTTACAGTTATGGTATAGTACAGTTTCATAGGTTTGGTAGCAATACCCACATACATAGGACGCACCGAAAAACCCCGTCTGGTTTTCAATCAGGTGTTGGGAACGAAAAGGAGCGTGTTTGAGTTATCAGCATATAAGAAAACTAAATTATTGACAACAATAGAATTATTAGTGTCAGTAAAATTATTAACGATTATTAATAATAGCGGGGCACTGTGAGAAATCTATGTTTAAATGCGCTCCTTGTGCTGGATATTATGTGTTACAATATGTTTACTTGTGAAAGGAACTAAAAGGAGAGTTACTGAATGTATTGTGCACTGTGAGAGAAACCAGAGACCTTATGACACCACCATATAAGGTAATAAATTTTGCAACAGGAACTAAACACCAGGGATGTGCGGTCAGGGGAGGCAGAGCAGTACCTTACCTATGTGTGTGTAAAGAATGCTGATATGAAATATGAAAAACAACCAGTGGTCAATGTGCAAGCTGCCAATTGAATGGTGATTTAAGCTACTCTATATTGGGTTCATATATTTGTAAATCTGACTCTGAAAGAGTCAGTGCCTCACCAGCCACGAACCTCACCGCACGTCACTGCTAAACACAGTCTTCGGAGAGAGGGGGATGTTGCTGAAAAGTGTCTGAATAGGATAAGCAGATCAGGTTTCAGCCAATCCATGGGCTTTATCCAACATGACGGCGAGTGACGCGGGAGCTGGAGAAGCGGTAGCTTTCACTTTTAAATGTAAGTATTGGGTTTTAACTCACTCGAATATCACAAATGTTAAAACAAAATAAACGACCTTATAACATCACACGTTTGGTAAAATGGTCGGTTAAATTACGTGACCTTCGTAGCTTACAAGCTAGCTAACTAACTAACTAGCTGCTCAAATACTGGGAGCTTATAACATCACGTTTGTTAAAATGATAGGTTAAATTACGTGACGTTGGTAACTGAAAAGCTAACTAACGTTAGCCGCGGCGCTAGTAGCGGCAGCTCGTCTGCCTGCATCTGACCGTAGTTAGCCTTGTAAAGTAACTTTTAATAACTTCACTTTCAAACCTCAGAGGTTGACTAATATCTTACTGAGATTGTAACAATTTTACAGATGATTTATACTTCATATTATGTCCATAAAGGACCAACGTG